AGCTCAGACGCTGGATAATATTGACAAGAAAAAATACTCTTGATTCAATCAGATTTGTCCTTGAATCGAGGAGCCGAGCCTCTTGATTTAGGCGGATTTTCTTTTGATTCAAGCAGAAAGTCCGATTGAATCAAGAGTATTTTTTCTTGTCAATGTTTTTATGAGTCTTGACTCTAGATCCAAGCTACTTTTTTCCAGTGACTTACATTTCTGTTGCCTCCCCGATGTAAACGAGATAAAAACAGCCTCTCGAACCAAAGTTCTCTTGCACGGCCTCGGATTTTAAACCCAAGCGTGACAAATCACGTTTGAATATTCTGACAAAGATTTAGTCTGTACATTAAAATATTTTTTATTAATTTAACTAAATTTGAACAACATTTAATGGAAACTATACGTGCGTGAGGGAGAACGGCGAAGATTTGGAGAATGCTGTACAAAGACTTTAACGCGGGAGTAGGAAAGTTGACTGCACTTTGCAATAAAGCACTACCATTTGTAGCCCGTGATGGCACCAATGTTTATGTACGTATGTTCTATAAGTTTACCTTTGCATATAAATGAGACGCTGAATGTCTTAAAATTATACTAACTAACTGACTAAATGCTTTTTCATGTATTTCTTCAACAATCAGAGAAAGAAGGTCAGATCAAATAGGTTTTTCTTTCATCATTGAAATAACTCAGGACCCTGTCAACAGAAGGCCGAGAGTAATAATGATTGCAACAAAACTTTTTCAGTTTTCCAAATGGAGATACACCTGAACAGTGTCACCTGGGTCACCACGGGAAAAGACTGTTGATTCAATTTACTGTAATAAAGAGTTGCGTTAAAAGTTTGGCATTTAACATTCTACTGTGCGTATAATTTTGCGAGGACAATAGAAAGTGCGGGAATATACCTCAACAGGAATTTCAAAGTGAAAAAAAACTTCCGAAAGTTGGGACTCACTGAATAAATCGCTCTCAATCATGATTTGCAGATTTCTCTATAGTTGCGGACTATTTGAAGACGGTGCATATTGCCACATTTTTTACGAGCAGAGATTAACTCTCCTCACCTGAGGAGAGTAATGACCTCAAGAGTCAACTCTTCCTAGGGGAAGTTTCGGGGCTACCATAGGGACCGATATAAGGACTGTGTGCGCTTTAAGAACTTTTTGTGAGTTTGGAAGAATATTTTTCGTATTTGATCGGTGCTGTTTTTGTGTAATCCAAAAGGGGTCGCTTTTGCTATTGCGAATTTCAAACACGTAGGAAATTTTTAAACACTGACAACTTCTTTCGCATATACGGGGTTAAGCTAACTTTGACGGTCAACTGTAAGAGATTTAATTGCCGTAATTGATGTTTGGGTTCGTCCTCCTTGAGGCAAAGAAAAATATTTTCTTCAAGGAGGCCGATTTCACTTTATGTATTCATTTCACAGAGGGTCATTTAACAATAATAAATTAATATTTTCTGCGATGTTTGCCGCCCCAGACAACACCCTTTTTTTGAAAGAAGTCCACTTAATTGTTGTATTGCGGAGGAAATATTTTATCAAAACAATTTTTTTCATCCGCTCAGCGGAAATGAACGAGAGAAATTGTCACAGAGATAGAAGCGCACACATTTTTAAGACATACAGTTCAATAAAGACTCAATCCCTTTTCTTTTACCTCTACTTTAGAATAAGAGTTGACGATATTGAAGAAAAATCTAAAACTTAGCATTATATATCGAATTTAAGCTGCAAAATTCTCGTATTTGCGTTCAGACATTGCCAAATTTATCTAAGTACATCCCCAATTCGTCCTAAGGTACTTGTCTATATATATTTTTCCTCAAAATTTTCAGGGAATTTATTTGCATCTTAAAATTTCTCAGCTTTTCAAGGAAACGTATTCGTCATTTTTCTCACAGATGACTTCTTATGTCAAATAAAAGTCGACACTGGAAAAAAAAAAAAAAAAAAAAAAAAAAAAAAAAAAAAAAAAAACACATTGGATCTAGAGTCCAGACTCTTAAAAACATCGAAAAGAAAAAGTACTCTTGACTCAATCAGAATCTAGCCTAAATCAAGAACCAAGCCTCTTAATTTAAGCGGATTCCGTTTTGATTCAAGCAAAAATCCGATTGAATCAAGAGTATTTTTCCTTGTCAATGTTTCCAAGAGTCTGGACTCTAGATCCAATGTGTTTTTTTTCCAGTGCATGCAAATGCTCTTGAGACTTTTCCTACGCAAGGCAGAATATGAGCATGATGTCCCGCAGAAGTGTACATACGCTTCTTTCGGTCAGCGCTGTTCAAGTGGAGCTGTGGTGTGACAGCGACCTTCACCTTGTTCAGTACCTACATCAGCTCCCACATGATTGAGGCTCATTGTTGCCCGTGGGAAGTGGACGAAAATTAAAGAGTCTCGTATCGAGGTTCGTTTCCTCACCGGATGAGGCCCAGGACGGCTCTCTGATCAACGCGCAAAATGCGTCGAGGATAAGATCGCTGTTGACTTGTTAACCATTAATAATTTATCCACAAATCCACAGACGGCACTGCGTCCACCGTATGGTCGCATTTTTATGAATCACGTTTCGCGAATTTTAATTTTGCATTTTACGAGTCGCTCTCTTACGTTATTATGCCTAGAGTACCTACATGCAGGAGAGTATTGTCATCTCTGTGCCGCTCTCTGATTGGTTCATCAGTTTCAGGCTACCATGGAGCTCCACAGTTGGCCCAATGTAAACAAACCCGACCCAGAGGAACACGTACTATCGGCTAAGAAATGAATGATAATCACAATCAAAGCGTAATTATCGGCAAAAATATCCATCAAAGTTCGATCCGAACTTAATTCAGAAGTTGGAACTAAAAACATTTCTATCACACCCAATATCACATCTAGAACTTTGTAGAACTTTTTCGCCAACTTGTTTCGTTCACATCGGGTCCAACTAGGAGCGGATGGGCTGGGGTTTGTTTACAATGGGCCAACTTTGGGGCTGCAAATAATTTAAGTTGCGCAATCCTAGCAACATTGGAACGCTCTTGGTTCCTTTTTGCAAAGGGCAACCCTTCTTATAAAGCTACTGCCAAAAATAGCTGGAAACGAGTTTTGTTATTAGTAAACTTTTGATTTAGAAAAGTCTGATTTGGAGATCGAGTTGAAAATTGTACCCCCAGCAGAATTTGAATTCACATTAAATGCTCGCAGTTTTCGAAACGATTTCCTGTTATTGTCATTAGCTACTTTATACCGAATGCATTCATCAGTTTTAGCTCGAATCAATTGCAAACAGCATAAAAAAGTGAGATGAAAATGGCAATGAAATGGGTTTAAAAATAGCCTCACGGGATAGTGCATTGACACGTGACGTCATACAGAAAACCTTCCCCAATAAAATTTATAAGACAGTTTAATCAACTTAGCAATTTGTGTAGATCTGGTTTAGAGGATTACTATTGCCACCGACGACGAGTGAAATATATTTTCGAAATTCGGTTCGATCGTGCAGCGGGTTTTCTCACTTAGGGCGTGGGCCGTGGGCACATGAGTGCAACTGGGACGATCTGATCTCCTTTTTTGCAAGTTTCAAATGAGCCAGTTTGCAAATGTGCTCGAGCATCGAGATTTTGTTTGATTTATTGTGGTATTCACTCTAACCAAAAAACCTTGTTACGAAATACTGGATCAGTTTTTTTAAACAGTGGCCATGTCATGACTACGAAAAGATCCAAAAACAAATCGGGGTGATCTGATTCGAACTATCAGACAATTATAACTATAACTTCCGAAACTTATAACTGGAACTATTAACCCATCAAAGGAAGCCCTGCGAATTTTCATTGATAAGTGAAGCCCATATATGTTTGTTAGAAGGAGTTTTCAGACAAAACGAGAATTGAGGGGCTTGGAGGACAATGCGCATAAGTACAGTTTTTGCTACCTCGAGAAATGCGTGTTTGAAGTTTCGAAATTACATAGATCCTTATGACGGAAAGAAAGTTCAAAATGACTTTTAGATGCTTATAAATTGGAATTTGAGAGCGAATTTTGCACAAAATACACATTAAGACTAGTTTTATTTGAAATTATTAATATCTCAAACAAAAACAAAGAAAAAAAAAAGCAAAAAAACTGCATTAACGCCTTGTCCTCACAGTCCCTCAATTATTTGAAGAATTCATCAGAAAATATTATCATTATTACTTTTTTTCAAATATTTTGGTAGAGCTCCAAGTTCTCTTCTCCAGGAACCTCTTACGAAAGGCCGACAAATCGAGGACCACTATGTATGCATTCTTTGGAAATACACGCCATTTATGTATGAGAGACATCATCAATGCCCATCATGTTGCCATTTAACCCATTCGCTCCCTTTTTTCTATCCTAGAGGAAAATATGCCCCAAACGTCAACTCATTTGCCTGGGGGTTTCCTCACATGGATGATATTTAATGGGGTGCTCTGATTGAAAATTCCTATCTGTTGGATGCAGAGGTTAATCTCTTCTTTATATTTTCGACCGAAGCCATTCTAATGAACTTTTCAACCATAGATCAAGAAAAGAAGTTCGTTATGCGTTTGGGGGGGGGGGGTAATATGTGTTGTAAATAGGGTTATCAGTTGTAGCCTACCGGAAAATTTTGGCAAAAAAGAGTTAGCGACTTCGTCTCATTCTACAGTACAAAGTATACTTAAGCTGATGTTTATAGTTTTTTCCAATTCTTCGAGGGAGCATTGTAATGACGCTGTAATGCATGAAAAAATTGCAGATCTAACCTAAAAATTATAAAAATGGCGAAATTTTCTCCTCGTCCTACAAAATTGCCAATTTGCAGATAGCGGTATTGTGCCTATTCCATCGACTTGTAAATACAACTTGCAAGACCTGGTAAAAGGGAGGGGGGAGGGTTGTTTACTACAAGCTTCCCCCCTTTCCCATTGGATACGCTGCGTTGCCAGCACCAATACACCTAAAGTTGGGTAAAATAATGGAAATATTAGGTGGTGCTTACCTCGTAAGTAGGGTTATCCGAATCTTGCGTGGATGCGCGGCGACGAATCTCGGACGACGACGGGTCATCGGTATCACTGCCCTTGTACTCCCGGTACCGCTGCACGACCACCTCTTCCGGGCCCCGCTTCTTCTTCGCGTTCACACCGAAAAACTGTTTCACTTTCTCCATCTTGGTGAGCTTCTTCTCCGGCGCCGCCAGGGCCCCGGGCGCCGTCTTCGGCTCGATCCGGTAGCGCGTCGTCTCGTTCTGGCTGTAGCGCCGCACCAGCGTGGCGCCACTCGGCACCGCCTCGCGCTTCTTCTCCTGCACCGTCTTCGTCGCCGAGAAGCTCTTGCTCGACAGCTTGCTCCGCGGCGGCCGCTCCACCTTCGGCACCTCCGAGTGGGTCCTCGTCGACACCACCCTCTGGTGGTACAGCGCCTTGTTCTCCAACTTCGCCCTTGGGGGCGGCTCGATCTTCCGAGCGTAGCCGTTCAGCGACTCCTTCCGGTAGTCGCTCAGCTCCACGCCCGAATCGGAGACATCCTTCTTCAGGGAATGTCGCCTCTGCTCACTGGACTCGTGGACCAACTTCGTCTCGAAATACCGGTTCTTGGTCAGGTCGGAGGTGTCGTCCAGGAGCTCGCTGAGCTTGTTGTTCTTCTGGTTGTTGAGGTTGAGCTGGCCGGCCGTGAGGGTGAGGCGGCGCTGCTTGTCCTCGATCTTCGACTCGAGGAGGTTCCGCCGGTGGCTGAGGTTCCGGGCGGGGGTGCTGTACCACCCGATGTCGGTCTCGTTGAGGCTCGGCGAGCGCTTGTCCAGGAGGGAGCCGTACTTCTCGCGGAAGACGGTGAGGTCGTCCCGGTCGAAGGAGGAGTTGCGCCGGCCGTTGAGCTCCATGCCGTCGCCGCGTCCGCGGGTCCCGAAGGGGTCGTCCCGCTCGATCCTGATGAAGGTCTCGGTCCTGGGCTTGTAGGACTCCGGCTCGAGGGGGACGGGCTTGCTCTGGGCGCGGATGAGGTTGAGGATCTTCTCCGGTTCGGGGATGCGCGAGGTGGGTGACGCACGGTCCTGGCCCATGGCGCGGCTCCGCTCGTCGTCGAGCAGTCGATTCGGACTGACTGTCGCGTGCACGGTTTGTTTTGCCGCGGGTTTGCCGTCGACGCCTCCGCTCGCGACGACTTGGGCGTAGATTACATGTCCTCCGTCCGCGTCAGCCTTGGTGGGCGGCTCCGTGTACGAGAACGGTTTGTTGTCGTTATGTTGGCGGCCCTCGTCCGGCTCGACAAGTGGGCTCGAGCTCGCAGCCGCTTTGCTCGCCGCTCTATTGCGTCGCTCCTCGCTCAACTTCTGAATCAATTTGTCGATCGTCGGCGCTCGGGTCGGCGAAGGCGTCGCTAAAATTTTTCCGCCAATGTCGCTATCGTCGTCCGTCAATTCCGCGTAGCGCGGTCCGGCCGCTTTCGGCTTCCGCTCGGTGCTCTCGTAGTCTCCTCCGCCGAGGCTGTAGTGCTGCTTCCTCACCGGCGGGTCCACCTCGTCCCGCGGCCTTCGGCCCAGGCTCTCGTACTCGCCGCCCCCCAGACTGTACGGCTGGTGCTTCTCCGACGACGACTCGAAGTAGTCCTCCCGGGGGGTGATCTCGATGATGGGCGATAGTTGCTTCTTCTTCCGCCGCGGCGCCACCACCGGCGAGGGGTTCCTCTGCACGTGGTTCGTGCGCGAGTAGTCGATGACGTCACCGTTGCGGTTGGCCACGTTCCTGACCTCGACGTCGGATTTGGAGCCCGCGTAATGCGGTTTCGCTTTTCGGTTCGGGTTGCGGAGGCGGTCCAGGGTGGCGAATATGGAGATGGTTTTCTTCTCTTCCGGTTTCCGGTCGAGGGGCTTCCGGCTTCCGGCGTCGCTCACGCTGCGCCCGATTCGGGTTCTCGAGCGATTTTGAGTGCTCCGCGGGAGGCTGTTGGTCCCCGTGTCGTCGTGGAGGCTGCTCCGTCGCAGATTGTACCGGTAGTCTTCGTTCTCACGTGCTTCGGTCTTCTTCTTGCTTTTCGATCGATCCAACGAGTTGAAGACCGACGAAATTAGGTTCGGTTTTCCTGCACAAAAAGAAAGCACGAAGGATATGTTTTAAATGTTCCACGGAAAGTATGGTAGACGCGGACAAAATTAAATTGCTGATTACACAATTCAATTGCTAAAAAAAGTGACTGCAATGTTTCAATGTAGATTTTACAACAAAAAAATGTTACTTTAGCTTACAATAGTGGTTAAAGTAGCATTTTTTTGGTGTGAACTCTACGTTGAAATATTGCAGTCACTTTTTTTAGCAATTGAATTGTTGAAGCTTAATTTTTTCCGTGAAGATTTAAGGATATTATCAATGACTAATTAAAAAAATATCTCGAATGATGATCGATCAAATGTTTTTATATAAAAAAAAATCAGTAAATTTTAAATGTATATAAATGTTCCAATTTTATATGCATACTTAAGTCGCATACTTTAGGATCCCTACACGATTGCAACAGGTTTTTTCTCAGAACTCTCAATACACAAACAATTAATTGTGTGAACGCTATTTGGACTGCATTTTGCAATTTGGAACTATTTCTGGCTCATCTGAAAAAACACTTATGTCCATAGGGAAAATAATGGCACATACGTTGTTTTAAACCGGACTGGAATTTATAGTTCCTAATTGCAAAATGCAGTCCATTTATTCTGACATCGCCTAAGCGTGTCTTGCCCCTCGTGGCACAATTCAGCTACTATTTGCAATTTGGAACTAGAATTTTTGGCTCAATTTAGAAACAGCTTATGTACTATTAGTTCCCCAATAGAAATATGTTTTCCTCACGTAAGAGCCAGTAATAGCAGTACCTAACTACAAAATTCAGTCAAATTTAATGGAGAATTCACATAAAAAAGTTACCTTGCTTTTTGCTGGAAAGCTCATGCTTGTTGTCGGAGCCTCCAAAACTGGACCTCCTTGTCAAGTTAGACCTATGTGGGATATGATTTCTAGTGGGCCTGCTGGGCTTCTCTTCGATGATGGCCCCCGACTCGGAGATGGGGACGCAGACGACGCTTTCGGCCTGCTTGAGGACCTTCTCGGCCTCCTTGGCCAGCTCCCGCCTGGACAGCCGGCTGGGGCCCTCCCGCCGCACCGCCGTCGGCACCAGGTGCCCCTCTCCATCTCCCGCGAGCGCCCCTACAACGCTAGGAGCATCCGGGTGACCTGTCAACAGAAAAATTAAACCATCAGTTTACTTTGAAAAGTTCAAACGTCCTCAAAAAGTTTGGTGAACGCATAGATCTTAAAAAAACATGTTTTATTTTTAAACAAGAAAATTACAATTTTTCGCGGAGAGAGCGCGTTCGTACTGAACGAGTGCGTGAAATAATGGGAGTTGAGGAAGATATTGTGCACAATATCAAAACCAGGCAGCTGGTTTGGTATGGACACGTGCGGAGAATGACGGATAGTGGGTTGCCCAGAAAGGTATTTAATTGGGTTCTTCACGGAAGAAGGCGGCGTGGACGTCCAGTAAAAGGTTGGCGGGAGGGAGTGGAGGGGGAGATCAGACGGTGTAATCTGCCCGATGATTTGTGAGAGGATCGATTCCGATGGCGATTTTGAGTCGCAGAGCGCTCTAGTGCGCTGAGGTAGCGGCTTGATATGTATGTATGTAAATTAAAATTTGAATTTGAGAACTGGAATCTGATAGGAGAATCCTGTCTATAATTTTATTTATTTACTTGGCTAATGCCTTCAATTATTCCCATCATCAATAAGTTTCTAGAATGGGGAAAAAAATTGTTTCATTTTTGCCACAAAATGTAGTTTGGAAAAATTCGATTTCCTGGAAACTAGTGATTGATGGAAGAATACTAAGGTCATCTTTGGCTATAGCAGCAAAAAATAAGCGGAAATGGCTCTATCAGATATTTGAGTAAATTATAGATTTTCCGTCCTTTTAGGTGAAAACCAAACGGACTAGTTTTACAGAGGGTAAATCGTGAAGTATCGATTTATACCGGAATGCATTAATGGAGCCAACGGGAGGTTTTTCTCTGATATATCGAGCTGACTGCACTAGAGTTTTATCAGTACTTTTTTGCCGTAAAGCACGTATAAAATAAGCCTCAATTGGGAACTATCCATAGGCGGTTCTACGGGGGTGCCAGTGGGTGCCGGGCACCCCCAAGCAAAAATTAAGTAGGGTTACCGGAACCGTGAAAGAGGCTTTCGGGCAAGTAAACACGTCAAGAAAAAATCGTATTTTGAAGCGCAAAAAATTGGCAATATTTTTATTTCATGAATTTTTTAATTCTGAAAATTGATCTAAAAAAGACCAAATTACTGCTTTTAAAGATTCTGTATTCGCTCATACTGAAAAAAATCCCAGCAATTAATTGAAAATGTTTTAAACAGAATTAATATTGATAGCCGTGTTTTACAAAGATTCTACTGTTTTTTTTTTATGGTAAGAATGTAGTTTTAGTGGAAAGTTTTGCTAAAAATTTTCTACGTTGAATTTATAAGTATTTAAGTAGAAAGAAAGGAGAGAAAAAGAGCAAGGAGGGTAGGAATGGGATAAAACTTGAGGGCCGAAAATTAGGCCTCCCCTGAGCGACCGTCCCCTATGGGGCCGATCTCCGACATTTTCCACCTCTGGGCACCCCCAAACATGAAGGTCTAGAACCGCCTATGGAACTATCAATTCAACGTAAAGTTGAATCAACTTTTTTTCAGCATCGAAGTGTATAGTTTGGTATGATTATTCTTGCCCCAGATACATACATAAAAGCGATCAAAATTTGAGGTACACAACGTAAAAGTACAACTAAATTAAAAACATTCGTCCTATAAAATTATCTTATCGTATTGAAATTAAAATCTTTGACACGCGTAGCAACTCGGGGCGTGAACGAGATTAGTAGAAATGAGAGGCCAAAGAATAGGGTAAAAAGACAATGCGTACTGCGTGGTCTTCCATAAATTGGATCTTGGCTCGTTTCCAACCCGTGCTCACCGTGAGCCGTGTTATTGATGAGAGTCAATTATAATTAAATTAGGTATACATGCACGATAGATAGCTAGTTTTGGGATGTAGTGTCAGTGCCCACCGGTGTGTGAAATCAAGGAAAGTGGAGGGAGAAATCACGACAAATTGAGTCACCATCCACGGCGCGATGGGGTAGGATTGTAAAATCGTGGGTATTCCTTAATTTTTTCCTCAGTCATTGGAAATAAAGACATTAAATTTTCAACGTCTGGAATATTTTTCAAAATAAAAGCATGTATAAATCAATTAAATAAGATTTTTTGTTTTCGGCTAAATCAATTTATAATTCATTGTAACAATTTTTATATAACCTACACTGAAAAAAAAGTAGTTAGCGTTGAGAACTAATTTGGTTGGTTCTCGCCAAGTAGAATCAAAATTAGGCTTCAGAACTAATTTATTGTACTGAAGCACCAATCAATTCGCTTCATACGCTGACTTGACTTTACTAGAGCGCGAACCAGAATTGGAAAACAGCACTAGCTGTAAAATTAGCGCTGTGGTAAGACAAATTCACCTTCGGGTCAAACTAATTCGCCCTCAACACTAACTGCCACATTGTCCGTTACATTTATTTAGTTTCGAAAAAGTGGCGTCGGTACAACAGCCTCAATCGCGTCAGCTCGTGAAAATCAATTAAAATGTGAAATTTCGGGCTCGTTTGACAATGTAAATACTCCCGGTATGATTTATAGTGTCCTCTCTTTCTTGAAAACGTTCGAAAGCAACATAAATAAACCTGTTAAGGTTAGAAATCGTCTGTTCGATTCAAAACGTAAACAAGCATGATATTCGTTGGAGTCGTCAATCTTCTGTATTAAATTGCGATTAAAGCGTTCCGCGTTCAGTTTATATTTTACGAAAATCTGTGAACTTACTGCTTACTTCTATAGTTCGTGTTCTCCCGTAATTTCAAAAGAATATCTCAAGTGTTCGGACGAGATATGTTTATTCAGTGTGAACATTCGCTACCGTTTCATGTGTGAGTGTGTGTCTCTCTAAAGGATAATTCTGTCTACTTGCACATACCTATGGGATATTCCTTTCCTCTGTCGTTCATTTGGAACCGGTCAGTTGATTTTTACCTCTCATCTTTTAAGAAATCTTCTTTTCCTGAAAGTATTGTCCAGTTATCATTCGCTAAGCCGTTTTCTCCTCTCTCAGTTTTGAGGTTAGGTTGACCCAACCCTACCGAATGCGAATTAGAGAAGCGGAATTAGTTTCCAGCACTAATAGTGGTTAGTGTACAGAAACCAAAAATCATGTGTGTCCAAATCACACAATTTGAGTTAGTGTATAGAAACCATTTTTAGTCATCTGACGCTAACTCATTTTTTTCAGTGTATGACACGATTCAACCAACCCGCACCGGTTTACCGCCGAGGTATGAATTTGTGGATGGGATTTTAACCCCAACCACAAACACCTTCCTTATTATCTAATATTTATCTTCGATAGAAAAGTCAAACATTTAGATACAAAGAAACAAGATAGAAAGTAATGATTATAATAAATTCTTGGAGTTGAATATACGTTTTTTTCCTCTTGAATGCAAGACGACACCAACAGTCACACTTGCAAGGGTGTGCGCGTGCGCGTGTACCTAGTGAAATGAGTGATCTTAGTTGGTTTTGATTCAAATAGGCAACTAAACTAGCTGCTTGGGAAAGCAGAGAGTATCACAGGAACCTGAAGGCGCTCTAAGCCGAGATTGTGCCTTTGAAGTTCTTCATCAATGAAACCTTTATCATGTCGATAAGAAGTCTTGCAATTTCAAGAGTTAACATGGATTGCCTACGATTGCTGATTTCCCACGACGTGCCTTTACTTTCCAGTTTAACCTATTGAATGATGAGCCAATCAAAGTGTAGCCCACTCCAGAAAGATGATCGTTCTGTAATTTATCGGCAAATGTGACTTCCAAGTTCCAAGATCCTCCTTAGCAAATCCAGTATAGTTAGCGTCCAGGAGCTGTATCGCTAACGCGTCACGAGTAGATTTAAGTGGGAGACTCATTCCTAAAATTTTGGAAAATGGCCTTTTCAAATTCATCGATTCAAATTATGACAGGCGATTATCGAGACGATTGATGGTAGGTAATTTTTCCAAGTTTTCTATTTTATCCGATGCGAAAGCACCTCTGTTGTAATCAAATGTGGAGCACCTTTAAACCTTCCCCCTCCCCTCCCCTCTTTAGCCCTACGTGCCAGCTGTGATTTGTGGACAGCCCACTTACAAAGTGGTCTGTCCTGTCAATATCCTGTGGGTTAATTTATTTTTTTGCACGGGCACGTGCCCAGTGGCGATTCTTGACATTTGACAACGCTGTTTTTCCTCAATTTAATTGCGTGTAAAACAATCGATTCTCTAAGAGGTAGCTAGTCTCAACTTAAATCGATATTTTTAATGGATTTAAATTGAAGAAAAACAGTGTTGCCAGCCTGTAAAATCACCACTGCACGTGTCAAATGAAACCAACACTGGAAAAAAAAAAGTCGCTTGAATCTAGAGTTCAGACTCTTGAAAACGGATTTTTGCTTAAATCGAGAGCCAATGCTCTTAATTTAAGCGGATTTCTTTTTGATTGAAACAAAAATTCGATTGAATCAAGAGTATTTTTCTTGTCACTGTTTTCAAGAGTTTGGACTCTAGATCCAAGCGACTTTTTTTTCGAGTGAACGATCCGGGCATCTTGCTACTGACCCATCACAACCTCTTTGTTCCGCACTTTCCAAGCACCTGGGAAACGATTCGACAACGCGGCGATCGCGGAGAGGTGGCAGTGACGAGTAAGAAGCGCCCATTAATGTGAACGTTTCGCGGGACGCCCGGGTTAGGCCGCCACCCACGCAAAATCGCGGTGGCAACCTTGAGTTCTGCCACCGCGGCGCGACGGCCAATGGCAGCGTGCGTCGTCCCGGCATGGCACGGCCCAGCGTCACGCGGCTCATCGGCCCCAACTCCAATTCCATCGCTTAAATCGTGTCAGTCGTCATTCGACCCATGCCAAAGGCTCACCGATTTGGATTTCGCTGGACGAGAATAGAGATGTATATTGTTCAAGTCAAGTGAACTTACCCGGAAAATTCCCAAGGCAAGTAAAAACGTAGAACGTAGGTGTGCTCTTGTCAGCCCCCTTGGCCAAAATGCAGCTTTTTGTCCCTGCCAC